TGATGATGTTGTTGTTGTTGTTGTTGATGTTGTTGTTGTTGTTGTTGTTGTTCTTGTTGTTGTTGTTGTTGTTCTTGTTGTTCTTGTTGTTCTTGTTGTTCTTGTTGTTCTTGTGGTTCTTGTGGTTCTTGTGGTTCTGGTGGTTCTTGTGGTTGTTGTTGTTGTTGTTGTTGTTGTTTCTTTCTGACCCTCTGGCACCTCTTTGTCATGACAGGCATCTGATAGTCACGACCAATCCAGCTGTACCTCCTCCAACGCCCCTTCCCCAAGAAAACCAGCCCAGCTTTCCGAAATGGTCAACCATGAAACTTAGATGGCTTCCAAGCTGGCTTTCAGTGTTGTTGGTAGATAAAGAGCCAGCAGCCAGAGGCGTAGCTCGCCAGAAAGCCACTTAAACGGGATGCTGAGAGCACTGCAGCCCTAGCGGGCCCAAGGCCACAATTGAGCCTGAACCGAGTCGACGGTTTTGGTGCAGGAGTGACAAAGTCATTGTGCCTCGCAGCTTCCGGCTGTTGGACGAATTGGCCGCTTACATTCCATGAGCTCATGGCTTGAGACAACGCTTTTCTTTGTCTTTGCAGGCTTCTGCGAAGTGTTGCAGTATGAGGACTAATAGCTAGATCCATGCAAAAGATTGCGACCTTATCGCTTCAATTGAGTGGTTGAGGAGACTAGCTAGCGTCTGGGACGATTACGACTGCGACTTGTGCTTGTTTGTGCAAATCTCGAAAGAAACAACCTCATACAACCTCGCACAGATGTCCGAGCTCAAGCTGAGGAGAAAGGTCAAAAATGTGAAAGAGCCTCGCACCTCTCCTGGGGCCTGGCGTATGATGACGCCTCTTGTCAAGACAGCAACGGTTTAACTCCGCGTTGGCCATGACTTGCGGGGTTGGTAGCCTTCGACATCGCTGGTCCTGTACCGAGAATGCGCATGCAGTTCCGATTCGCACGCTAGAGGCATGCTGACCTCACATCAGGCTTGAGCCCTGCAGTGTGACCCAGTCACGGCCGTGACAGCGTACGAACGGTTCATCACCTTTTCGTAGCCAAGGACATCACCCTAACTACATGGAACGGCACGATTTTCGGACCGATCGACACGGCCTTTGACAATCGCATTTACGCCCTCCAAATTGCTGCGAGCCCAGGAAGTGCGTGCAAGCGACTGTGAACGTGGGAGCGGGTAGCTAGTGTCTGTCATTCCAACATAGCGCAAAGTCTTATAGGCACAATGCACATACACATGAGGCATTATGAGGCGAAGATGCGCATACCGAGAACCAAACGACTTTGCTTCCTGCATTGAGACCTCTGAGGTTTGTGGACCCAATTATCCAGATGTCTTGCCTGAAGTGCGCTTCACAGCCTCTTAGCTGGAGTTGAAGTATAGGTTTTAGCGCACATTGCGTTCGATTTGGAACACCAAGCCGCAGCACAGAACATTCAATTTAAAGAAGACACGTGCTACAGGCTACGGGCAATGAGTACTTTGCTATCGTAGATGGTGTAGAGGTGGTTGAAAGGAGGATGGGTCAAACTTGTAGAGGTTGCTATTGCTTTGGATCTTGTGGTGGCCCGGGCTTCCGGAGTTGAGAAGTTTGGAATTCAAACGTGCCGTACTTCCAGCAAGCAACCAGATCAAGCTGCAAAGTTGAAAAGAGATAATGAGGGACAGCCGATTGTCCCTAACAGCCTGCACAGGTGAGGCATGGTAGGCGCATGAATACTAATATCCCCAGCAAAAATCGCTGTCTAGGAATGGCGTGGAGCGAAGCCGAAGAAAGGCTTTTGGACTAGTGCAGGTCCTGGTTGCCTTGCCAATGGGGCTAAGGCTGGTATCAACATGAATTGCATCGATTCCGAGGGAACCGTCAAGCCCACCTGGGGCGTCTTAGGCGGGACTGGAGTGCTGCAAAGCTGGCGGGAACGTTAGGCCACGATTGGCTCTTATGTGAGAGGACAGCTAGTTGATGACAACTAGTTGTTTTATGTTGTCTGTTGTCCTCGGGGTCTATTTATCCGCCCTCCGCTGGAGTTGTGGGCAATGTGGCACCTGGCAAAGGCAAGGCAGCCTCCACATGTTCCAGCAAAAGAGTCCATTGCCCGTTAAGCCAAATTTCAAAGGGACATTGCATGAGTAGGTGTACCACCAGTGGCCCGCTCAATACTTCTTGGTCAGCCTAGTTGGACGCTTTTCTGCCGGAGGCAATTGGAAAAGAGAGTATACCATCGAAACTGTGCTGGACGCACTCCGCCGGGAGATGTGCCGCATTCAGATGTTGAAGTATGATGTTGGTATGAGATTGGGCCTCTAGACTGGTTTTGCGGGTGTGCTAAACCAAGTGGGGGAAATCTTCTGCAGCGGAAGAACGTGGCTGAGGTGCAGCCCAGCCAACCGCCACCTGGTACAGCCAGACACTGCACCTCCAGCGCCGAACAGCTGAGCTGCCAAGGGCACGGGACCTGGAACGGTGACTAGTGTGTGGGACGGGTTCTCCAAACAACGGGAAGTTTAGACCTCGAATTCGGTTGACGAAGTAACCTTCTTGATGTGTAAGAGGTACCTTAGCAGAACTGCGCGGTTCGGAAAGTAATTACCTAATCGTAGCTTCATCGGCCTACCTTGAATGCAGACCTGGACCAGTCTGCCGTCACGCTCAGGGTTCAGGTGATGTCTTCCAGGGCAAAGGTCCTAATAAGGAGTTCCATTTTTGTTGCTAAATGCTGGCTGAGAACATGAGATAAGCGCAGCAGCCTTAATCATAGAAATGAACCGAAGAGCTTGGACCAAGTTCCATCAAGTAGAGCTTTCCAGAGTTGTCGTGGCTTGTGCGGGGTCTTGCGGCTTCTTCTGAGTCTCTAGAGCGCAGTGCAGACCCCTGTAGTTGGAGCAGTTCTAAAAAAGGGCCCATCATGCTGGAAATCGGCTCTGGCCGCACGACCTGCACAGGTCCCAAGAATGACCAAAACTTTTTTGGCTAGATGACATGTCTCTTCTCTGCTGCAGGAGTTGTATATGCAGTTTTCGCACTGCAGAATCAGCAACACTAGAGAAGTTGGTCAAAACCTTTTCTTCAATTTGGCCGTCAGGGCCGCTCTCTGCTGAAGCTGAAGATGCGGGAGTTGTCGGAGCCAGTCGTCTCCTCGCCAGGATTATCTAATCTGCAGCGCGCGGCTTTCAGGTTCAGGGCTATAGCGTCCCAAGCGTGACAAAAGCGTTCAAAGGCACGCCCGACAGACATCATTCTAAATGCTCATCAGAGGCTTTAGTCCAGAAAATCCTGAGGCAGCTACAGCACCTTTTCTGTGCTCTCTGTTCGCAAGATCGCGTGAAGGACCCTGAGCCATCATACTGTAAGCAGATAAAGGGTTGCTGGCCTCATTTGTGCTGACCTTCAGTATGGAATTTGCGTTTTACCGCTTGGGTCAACTAGGGATGGTTATAAAAGAGCCTAAGCTTAAGTGACCTGTGTTTCGAGTGACACCTGGCTCAAGATGCGCTGGCTTTCGACTCAACAGTGGAAAGCTCTTTAGGCAGCTTCTCAACACGGGGCTGTTTGGCAGTTAGCCGTGTATATCAAGTTGACCCCTGAACCGTAGCAACTCTAGACTTTCTGATTTTGCGTTAAAAGGTATTCAGGCTCACGGTTTTCATTGAGGGTTGCATGCGGGCTGGACATCAAGTAGGCCCAAGCGTTCAGCAATTTTGGCAGTACAGCAGGTGCTCTTGAGCCCCACTATCTTATCTGCTCCAGACAGACTTAAATTGGTGGGTTGGGGTGGAAACTCAGTGGTAGGTCTCTCCATGTCTCTCCATGCTGCAAATTGCCCTTGTCAAGCATTAATGCACACAGCGTCAAGGGGCGGGCTAATGTCTGATGCATCCGGACGCGTTATTGTATTGGAGTCGCAGAAGGCCCGAGTTCTTCAAGCGCGCCACTTACTTTGGAACTGTACAACATCTGTACAGCCAGCAGTTTTACGGTTGAGCATACAAACTAACCAGATGTCCCACTTCTAGTCACGGGGGCTCTAGGCGCTGCCGACGTGAGGAGTGCCCCAACTAGGCGAGTGCCTGGACAGCGCCGAGCAAAGCAACAACCGAACGTAAAACTGGGACTGGTTCAAACAGCTTGCCTGAATGCTGGTTTAAACATGCTCCTGCGTGAAAGCTTCAATCAGGGGCTGCGTTGCACTTATGCTGAACCACCCAAGATCCCAAGATTTCAGGGCAAAGAGTTCAGGTAAAGTCAGGATGCTTTGCACGGATGGTGGCTCCGCGTGACGAGGCACTCTGCGCTGTTGGCTTTTTAAGATGTATCAGCCGGCTCTCTGAAAATCCATGGGATGGCGCCCTCGGATGCAGATTAAGAACAGCAAAGGATGTGAAACGATCAAAGTTCTTGAGTTTCAGCATCGCCTGGACTGGTAGATTTGTTTTTGTGAAAGTTCGTAAGTGGAACTGGCACGCTTAAGGTCGCGGAGCTTTCGATTCCAGCAAGGCTTCTCAAATGTTGGACTCGGTTTTGTAGAGGGAGTTGGAATAACACAATTTTCCGGGGAAAATATTCAGAATCTGCTGTAGTATGGTTTGATGGGGTCGGAATAATACGGATTTTCGGGGCCAAGCTACAAAAATAGCATGTTTTACCTAAGTCAGGTTTGTTTTCAAGGGCTTAAAAGGATCTTGCACCAGAACCTTTACCTATAAGGGCCTGAATGGCCTGATATTAGCTAATCCGAAAATCCGTAAACTTAGAGACTTCAGCTCCATATACACCGTTTTGTCGGAATTAATTCTACGAAAACGGACGTGCCGTCAATTTTCTTGGAGGGGTAGTCCAGCAGAGGCCAGGGTCCTCTTTTAGCATTTTGTTTTGGGGGGGTCGGAATAATCATGCACTTTTGCAGCCTCCTAAATTTTCACGAGTTTCTGCTATTTTACGTTGATTTTAAATTGATTCTCATTAGATTTCAATTGGCTTTAATACGATTTGGATCGGGTTTGAATTGATTTTGAATAACGTAATTAGACTTTAAAGCGGCTTTCATTAGATTTCAGTTGGTTTCAGTACATTGAATTTTGATTTCATTTGGTTTTGCTTGAATCTTAATAGATTTTCTAGTAGCTTAGGTGGTTTTAATTAGGTTGTAATCAGATTTCAGTTGATTTGAATTAGATTCAAATTGGGTCGAATCGGATTTCACTTGATTTTGCAATAGAGTGTAAGTAGATTTGACAGTGGTTTACATTAGAATTACAGCTGGTTTCAATGGTTTTAACTAGAAGTTAGTTGCACCTGGTTAGATTTCTATCAGTTTAGTTTCCGATTCGTTTAAGGGGGTTTTCAATGAACATTTAATATTAACGGTAGTGCTAGTACTAGCACATACGAAAAAGAATCCCAACTTCAAGCTACTACCGAAATTCATGTTTTTTGATTTTATTTGCGTGGCAAATTTGGGGGGTGGCCCTGTATTGAAGAGAATAGTCAATTGTGTGTGGGGGGGTTCGCTAAACAGGATCCATCATTACAGTACATGGGGAGTCCACCGTGTCTTACAGCTACCTGTAAGCCTGGGGTTCTATGCCAAGATGTGACATGCAAGAAGCCTGCTTCCCATCCAGAATACGCAGCGCCGAACAAATCGAAGACCTCAGACCTCAAGCGCGGCCTAAGTAAGCAAGACCCCCTGCAAATATCTCAGTCAGCATTGTCTATATTTCTCTGATGCGCCGATCTTACATTGAAGTTTCTTGTTGTCGCAAAGCAACTTGTTCCAAAACAACAGCTATAGGTACTGTCGTCAAGCTCCTGTAAACAACGCATTCCACGTGCGTTTTCATAAAGAACTCAAATTCTTGGCCCCTTCGGCTTCCTTTTGTCATGGTGGAATAGCATGACCTTGGCAGATTAGCAGTCCCAGCTGCCCGGGTTAACATGAGAAAGGGGAAGCCATCCCAGGAGGGGACTTCGAAGCGCAGTGGAAGGGTCCTGGAGCCTACGATAATATTCATAGCTAAGGAACGAGGGCTACACGTGAAAATCAGGCCCGGTGTTGAATTCCAAAGTATCAGGAAGGCATGCATGCGAATGGACTGAGAGGTATTAGCGTGTTAGGCTCATTTGTTGCCTCAATCCCCTCCAATCCATCCATTCTGTCTGCAGGGCTTGATCACATCGGGTGGGGGTGATCTGTTCAGAATCCTTTCATGTGAAGGTCATGGCATAGTTTTGATTTTTCCAAGTTTGGGGGCCTGGACGCTGTGATTTCTGATGCATCGATCCGCCAACTGCGTGCTACCCTGCAATGCACAAGCAGGGACACTTATCGGCCTTTGGTTGAGATATGTTGAGATGCTCTCTTGCCAGCAGAGGTGTGGGGGTCAACACTGTTGAGTCAACACAAACCGCTGCTAGCTGCACGTATATCGAGTCTCACCCACAGCGCCTGCCCGACTCCCAAGTGGCATTTGTGGATGGCCGAGCTGACTTTCCAGGAAATGACACACTTTTTGCACGCTTTGTCTTGCAGGCGCCCCAGAAGGTCACAACTCACAACTAGATCATTTGGCCCTAGTATGGCGAAATGTCAAACGCGACGTCGTTTGAGTACTCGGACAAGTAGATGGCATCCGCGAATATGGTGTCAGCAGGCTCAGAGGGGTTCGCACAGGCGCTGAGAAAACAAATCTCCACACCTAGGGGCATGGTGAGGCGTTGCTTTGTGCTAATCTTAAGAATCACGCACCCGAAGGGCGAGCCGTAAGGCAGCTACCTCTGATTCCAATCCTAGGCAGGAGCTGGGTATAAAAGTCCGTGCATGCCTAGGCCTTGATTTTGTTTTCATTCCATCATGCATGTTGGGCTCCTGAATCCTGGGTCCCGAAGCACCAGCCAATTGGATTTCTTGAGAATAGCGCGCGTCGCACACCTCCGTGTCCAGCATAAAGGATCTCTTCAGAGGAAGTTTCTCATATGGCAGGATCCAGGCATGCAGCACCAAGCGCCATAGGTGTGGAGCTTTTGCAGGTGTCCGAAGTGATGACCTCCATCCTATTTGGCCTCTGCATTCACAGCCATGCTGAACAAAAGGCTTGATGCTGATGTGGCTCCTTGTAAGTGATGTATGCTCATCCAGCTTGCGAAGAATCGAGGAAACCATCCGTGTTGTTATGCTGGCTTGGGCATATTAGTGCCTCTGCAACGACTGATAATACTTGTGGGTGAGCGCATACCATCCACATGATTCTTCATGCGGCTTTGTTTTTCGGTGCAGACAGCTTTTCAGCACATCCACGACTCACGAGACTTGAGCTTTCCAAGCAAGCAATGAATCCTAAGATTTCCGCCTGAAAATGAGTCACTCACGCAAGCTTAATCTGCTATCCTGAGAGTTTCTGAAATCACAAGCTTTGAAGCACCACATTCTGAGGTCAGGG